TCGGTGTTGCCATTCGGAAAACAAGCACTCGATCTCCGAAGATGCAAATTTCTTATTACATCCCGGTTTTTCCAATTGAAGTTGTCGATAACGATTCTACAATCTAGTTAAAAAAGAGGAGGACCATTAAAATCGACGGGCGTTTGTAAATGACTTGCATTCAATTAGCGACTGCCAGCGAAGACACTGGAGCGACACCCCCGCCTCCCCGCGAGTTCCCCGACGGTATAATTTCGCGGAGCGGGTCCTTCGGGCGGGCGTTTAGCTGTTTTTTCACGGTAATTTATATTCATCAGCCTCCCATATTTCCGAATAAACGCTTCACGAGCATGCCGATGGTTCCGCCTTCTTCTCGATATCAGGGCTCCAGTCATCCGAAAGTTAATCAAAAATACATTACTCAGACCCGCGACGATGGGACGGTGGCGGGGAAAGAACCGGCGGTGCTAATATTTACTTGGCGTGAATGAAGGCACCCTCGCGGCTCACGGGAGCCCGTCGCCGACTTCCCCGGACAGAAAAACCGCACGAGTCGCGGGGATGAAACGCACGGGACATCGACCCAAGTTCCGGGTGGAGCTACTGCGTGAGGTGTGCGCGTGTTAGGCATAACGTCACAATAGGGATTCTCTGCAGTATGGAATGAATCAATAGGCAAGGCACAAATCGTCGCTTTTCTAACGTAAGGGCTTATCTTGATTTCCGCATGAGCCCAACTATTATATTTCTATATGACATGGATATAATCAATAAATATCAAATTTGATGATTAATATAAGTATATAAATATTGTAATCTTATTAATCATTCCCTGCTTAATTTTAGTTCAATTGAGTTTTAGTCATCAGTTCGAGCATAGAGTTGTATGGATAGGGCTCATTCAAAAATAGAGATATGCCCTTACGTTAGAGAGGCGACGAAATGAGAGTACCCTAATTAAATCCGAGAGTAGCCTAATTTCACGTTGAACACATTGAAAATTTTTAAAATCAACCCATCGGTAAAAAATATGCGTTTATTGTTCAGCGAATTGAAACCTTCCTTTTGCGCAGAGCCGGGTCAGTACTCAGGGGTGCTGGTCATTCTTCAAATCCTAAAAGAGCCTTGTTAAAAGTGGGTCAAAATTCGCCCCTTTTTAGGTCCTCGATTCGGCAAACGGGAATTGCGCCAAATTGTTGCATATGATGCTCTATGTCTCTGGTAAAAAAAGGGCCCCAAGACATCTAAGATGTCTAGAGCCGCCTAAATCCGTCTTTTAGATTCCAAAGACCCCTAAAGAATCAGCCAGGGGAGCCCGGGGTACCGCAACACCGTGGCTGATCCGGCTCTGCGTTCGCAAATAAACCAAAATTAACGTAGGTGGAATCAGACATCAAAAACAAACTTATCGTACGTTAATAGAATAGATTCAAACATCACAAATATTTCCTTTTTCTGCAGAGCTTGTAAAGTTTTTAAGCAAAAGTCAACTCACTAAATGAGAAAATGATGAAACGCATACTATACGGCGTTCAGTACCGGTCGTATTAGCTTTAAGTGACCATATGCTCGGTTTCAATCCTCATAGTTGGACTGCATTTTGTAATATGGAACTATAAATTCTAGCCCGGTTTAAAAACCACGAATGTGCTATTAGTTTCCCTATGTACATAAGTGTTTTTCCAGAAGATCCAGAATTTACGGTTCCTAATTGCTAAATGCAGTCCAGTTTATGTGTAACCTGACTTTTGGTTCGTATGACCAAATTTTCAGTACATCCGGTGACGCAGCTTCCACGTCAACTGGATAGTACGGTTGATGTAGGACACCACCCTACCGTCTCTTGAACACATTTTTTTCCCAAGTGTGATTCCAAAATCTTAACTTTGAGGTTCCTACCACAAAAGTCCTTCTTACCGTTCCTGCGACAATGGTATAATTTTGATTAAGCTCAATCCCGGCCCAGCCAATTAAAATCCGAGGAATCCCACCCCCCTGTGCGAGGGTGAGAAAAATCAGGCAGAAGCGGAGAGAGAGATAGAGCGGAGCGGACCGATGTAAAACTCCGCCGAGAAGAAGTTGAGGATGCGATGAGGTACTTAATGAAGCGAAATGTGAAGCTATTATCAAACACAAGTCCAAGTTTAAAAACGAATCCTCTAAACTTTAAATTAGGTATTCAAGTGGAAACTTTTAGTTTGCAGTTATAATTCATTACGCTTTCCAAGAGGCTTTTAGCTCGGGCGGAGGCGCGGGATGAATGGCGGGCGGGGGTGC